TTTTGAGTAAAAAACCAGCTAATTTCAGCATTACCCTTAGAAAAGAAAGCCAAGCAGAATGTAAAAAAAAATTCCCCACTCCCCCAGCCAAACAATGAAGTAGAATTTTGGATGCATCATTTTGTTGGGTTACTTTTGTGAAACTGGTGCCAGAAAACTCATCAGGACTGAGAGGCAAATGGTTTCACTGAAATATCAGTTGATTCTTTTAGAAAATCTTCTGCTTTAGCACTTCAGCTTAGACTTGGTATCCAATTTACCTTCCAACAATATGACCCAAAACACATTTTGGGAACTACCTCAGAATGGTTTCAGGAGATAAAAGATGGGGTAATGGAATGGCTTTCTCAGTTTAAATCTTCCTGAACATTTGTAGAATGAATAAAAAATTCCTCTTCATAAATGGAAGCCATAAAATGATTCTGAACAGAAGTATGATTGATAAAAAAGAAACATCTAAGGAATGCAGAGTTTTTATGAAAGGAAAACAACTATTGGCAGTTATCAGTACCAAAGGAGCTGTTCAAGGACTTGAATACTTCTGCAAAAGTCATTGTAATAAAATATTGATAACTTGGAAACAATTAATAATATCAATTTCTCTCTTACTTCTTATCAGTTTGCATATTTATCTGTTCATGAGCTGAATAGATAAATGGCATAGAATCAAATCTGGAACGATTTCTCAGTAAAATAAGGAAAATTATCTAGTAATTCAAATATTTTTGCATACAATGTACATATATATATATGATAAGAATTAAGGCATGCTATTTTTATGGCTAAAAGTGCTCAATATCAGAGATACAGTGTATATCAATATAAAAAATAGCCACTGAGGTTAAAATCAAATGGCAGTAGCAGTTAATTTTATGCTTGAATGCAATTTTCAGACCCTGAAACAGAGTGTCGCTGCTTGATGCTGACCTCAATGGCCACATGAGAAAAATAAGTTTTAAGTTCTGCTATATTTATGGGTAAAAGTATTCAATATCAGAGATAGAGTGTATGTAAATATAAAAGTTGGGACTGATGTCAACATCAAGCGGCTGTTTCATACTTTAATACAATCTTCCGGCCAGGCTGCATGTTGACCTCAATGTGTGTGTGTGTGTGTGTGTGTGTGAGATAAATGATTGCTATGCAGTATCTGAATATATAAGAAAAAGTATGTGAAAAGTACTTAATATATATATATATATATATATATATATATATATATATTTGTATATGTTTCATTAAATACGACTGACAAAGTACTGTGATTAAGCTTTTTATTTAATTTTTCTTTGTAAAGTGTTTTCTTCTCTGGACACAAAGTGTATAAAAAACTGTCCAAAAGTTCAAGCACTTTTGGTTATTGTTTTGGCTTTTATCAAGGATGATTTTTATTTGCTATTTCTTACTAAATGTGTGGGTTTGCATAAAAATAGATAGCCACTATGACCCATCATTTCACATATCCTAACTCCTATCTACAAGCTGTCAAGATTCCTTTAAAGATATCATTACTCCATATCTACCTACCAATTATAGCATCATATCAACTTACAAATTCCTTTAAATTCTAAAAAATATACAACCAACCCAAGGTATTTTAGTGTCACTCAATGTTGAAAATTTATTTACAAATATCTCCATCGATCAAATTATTGACATGATCCTTAACTCTGTGTAAAAAAATAATTCCATTCCACCTCCATTTGTTCTAACCAAATATCCGCAAAAAATTATTGCATGCCTCCACAACTAAAGTTCTTTTCTATGACCATAATGACAATATCTACGTGTAAATTAATGGTGTTAGTATGAGAAATTCTTTCAGTTCATGCTTCTCCAACTACTACATGTCCAATGTAAAGAACATGATTTTTAAACAAGTCACTAAACCCAGAATATATGTCTGCTATGGAGAGACAATATTTTTATTTTAGAGAAAAACAAGAAATTGATAATCTCAAAGCCAGATTAAAAAAACTCTGTCCTTAACTTTACCTATGAACTTAGTCAGTAAATAAACTCCAATTCTTAAACATTTTCATAGAATTCAGTAATAACACATTCACCAAATCATTATACAAAAACCCACTAGCAGAAACTTTTGCTACCTTAATTTTAAGATTGAATGTCCACTTAGATATAGAATAGTAGTTAAAGAGAGCATATTCATCCTCTCGTCTCCTTTTCCTTAAAGAACTCTATAATGTAAAACAGATGCTAGTTAACAATGGTTTTCTTAACTACCTCATCGACCACTAGATTAGACTTTCTTTCTAAAATACCTAACAGTGATACTGAACATACAGATAAAAACAATAACATTAACATCTTCTACAAAATCCAAATACATGTTAACTATAAGCCTGACAAATTTTCTCTTAGAAATATTATAAAGAAATACACAACCCAATTGACCTGAACAAGAAAATTAAATTAATTATCTATTACAAAAATTTAAAATAGGTAACCTTATTATCAAAAATAACAACACACCCACAAAAAAAAAACTACAAACAATGAACATTATTTATGAGTTCAAATTCTCCATAAGGAAGTGTATTCTTGATGAAACCAAACACATAAATAATTACATTGGTCATACTACTACTACTACTACTACATATCAATCTAGACAACTTATGTTATAACTAACTGATCATAGCTGCATTAGGACTCATTGAAACAGACACAAAAACCTACCAAACTCCAACTGAAACATACTAGTAGAAAATACAAGTATAATAGCTTTATCTACATGAAAAAAGATTAAAATTAATGGAGGCCCTAATAATAAAAAAAAGAAAAGCCAACACTTATAACATTAACTATGAATACGACCACACTGTGTTTGGAAAATAAAACATTTCCTATAACTTGAGACACATACATAAAAACCCCACAAATTCAATTAAAAATAAGAAATAAAAATTGTCCTTGACAGCGGCTAAAAGAATAGCCCAAAGCATTTGGATATGCATAACTTTTGGACAGTTTTTACACACTTTATCTCCAGAAAAGAAAACACTTGTATGGGAACTAGAAAAATTAAATAAAAAGCTTAATCACTGTACCTTGTCAGTCATCTTTAGCAAAACATGTATGTATGTATGTATGTATGTATGTATATATATATATATATATATATATATATATATATATATATGTATGTATGTATGTATGTATGTATATATATATATATATATATATATATATATATATATGTATGTGTGTATATATATATATATATATATATATATATACGTGTGTTAATATATGTGTGCATATATATATATGTGCGTGTTTGTATGTGTGTGTACATATATATATATATATATATATATATATATATATATATAAAATGATATTAGTTTTCTTTTAGTACAATTTTGTATTGTTTTTCTGTTGGATAGATAATATAACATTTATGCTACACATTTGCCATAGCATTTTCTTACAGACTTTTGAAAAGTGTCTGTTTTTCATCATTTTAGTCCAATTTTTTGTAGTTTTATTTTTCTGTAGTTGTGTATACAAATATTTCTTGTAGACTTTTAGTAGTTGTTTTTGAACTGCTAGTTTTATTCCCAATGTGTTTTTCTTTCAGTATTTGATGTTTCCTCCATCTGTTTATTACTGTCTATTCAATTTAAATTGAATTTGTTTTGAAAAAAAATTCTGTAAAGCTAGTTCTAGGTGAAAGAGTGGATAATAAATTTTAAATTAAATAATATTTTTTTCAAGATCTAAATCAATTTAAATTCTCACTTCAAACTTTAAAAATGTATTGGCATTTCTACTCACCTTCCAAAGAAAAAGAACCTTGCCTTGAAAACTCAGAATTAAAATCACTTGTATTTTCCTGAACTAAAGTTACTAAAATCAAAATATTAAAATGCATTAATAAGTACATAAATAATTATAGATAATACTATATGTTAAGTTTTTTTTTTACAAATCCTGTAAAAGTAATGTTTTTAATCATATCTCTGTTAGAAACAGAAAGTAGATTACAACATTTGTGTGTAAGATTTGCTGAAAGTATTTCAATCGATACTATAACAGATACAAAGAACCGAATGACACTATTGGATGGATCAAGTTTTCAGCTATAAAACAATATTTTTGCACATAGTCATCACCAATGGCTATGCATTTTTACTAGTGATGATTGCATGTGATACAGTAAGATATATTATTCATATAGAATTTCTTTTCTTTTTTTTTTTTTTAAATCATTTCACTCCAAGCAAAATGATAATACCATTACGACACATAGGGTTACTGGGCATGAAACAGAAGGAACTGGAAACCCAATCCTAAACAAGAATCAACCTCTACTCCTGTTCAAAAGATCAGGATGGAGTGCAAACCAGACAAGAGGCAAACCTATCTACTGCTATTGAGGAAAGAATAAATAAATAAATAGTATAAATTTCCTAGTTTAGGCAGAAACATTAGAAGTATAAAGTTGAGGTAGAATTTATAAAGACATGAAAAGCCAATTCAAAAATGGAAACAGGGGACAAACCTCTACTTTTGTTCAAAAAATCAAGGATGTGAACCTATCTACTGCTATTGAGGAAAAAATGAATAGTATAAATTTCAGAGTTTAGGTGGAGACATTAGTAGGATATACATCTGCTTTATACGTACTTTCAAGTCCAACACAGTTTTGTCAATCTGCTATTTAGTCACTATCTGTAGCAAGTCAATAGAAATTTATGGGTTATTGGTTTGGAAGGTTCATTAGAGATTTTAATAGCCCAGTAGATGTTATATATCTTTTTTTAGGTTGCTATTGTAGAAGGCTTCAGTACTTATTATATCTTTCTTTTTGACTGACCAGCATTCAAAGCCATACAAAAGGACAGCTTTAATATTGCTATTGTAAAGACTGTCTATTCATCATCACTGCCATGATTGGGTGGGGTTATAGGTTTGCTGAGCAACTAATCACTTGACTCCATGTATCTCAGTTACATGCTAGTAGGTCTGCTTATAGCCATATCACATTGAATCCCTGTTTCTCGTATGATCACTGAAGTTAAACAACATCAAGCCTGGTCAGTACCTAGATGGGTGACCACTTGGGAATACCAGGTGTTATATACCTGGATGGACAAGTGGTGTAATGGATAACAGCTCAGAATTAGAAACTGGAGAGCTGAGTTCCAATTCCAATCAGGTTCATTATATTCACTTATAGGCAAATACCCTTGGGAAAGTTATAAACCCACCTGGTATAGGAACCAGTTTAGTCACTGCAGGCAACAGGCAGTACTGGGTTACATGATACCAGTAATACTCATCAAATGATCTGACATAAAATAGCAAATTAGGGTCTCAAATAAAAAACTGATTGCTAAAATCTTCAGAACAACTTGAAATTTAAGTTGATATTCTTTTGAATCAGAAATTTATGTTTTTGTTTTGTTTTTTCTCCTTTTAAAGGCATAAAAATATAAAGTTATTGTTTTTCTAAAATTCTTATTTTCTTTTTGTTTAATTCTAATTCAAAGTGTTATCGCAACTTTAAATTAAGAAAAAACATAAAAAAACTCAGACATAACTTTAAACATTAATAACATTTATATATCTTCACATATCTAAATTTCTAAATAGATCCTTAAAACTTGATGCCTTATTAAAATGTATCTGAGGAAGACTTTCTATTTATCTCTACTTCTTGAATTATTCTTTTCTTCTCTTTTTGTACCATTACAGCCCATTGAATTGTCTACCATTATTGAAAATTTATTTTAAAATTTATCTCTTTGTTTGGTACTTCTAATTTTTATTGCTTTTATATTTGGTATAAATTAGTTGAAAAGAGAAGTAAAAAAAACAATCAAATGCTATTGAAAAACGTTGAAGTTGAAGAAACATATTTGTACTTTGATGTTTTTTTTAAATATAATGAAAGAAGAAATGAAATAAGCATTGATTAATTAATAGTAATATTGTCATTAATTAATATTAATATTGTCATTAATATTAATTAATAACAAATATCTTATTCAGAATTACTATTTTTTCTATTATTTTATGTTTGCAGTTTGCATGAAAAAGTGAATTTTTCAATTTTTGGCTCATTAACGTTTTTTCTGTGATTTTTGACAATCTATTCTTCTTTGTATTTTTTTAGCACAGTGTTTCACTATCTGGTTGTCTTGTAGAATGCCATATTCATTTTTCAGTCTTGCTTGAATTAACTCTCAATATATTTCAATTAAGTTTTAATTAACTTTACACAATATTTGTTCGATACATATGCACCTAATGTACATTTTAAAAATTTCTTTCATCCGTGTTATTTGAATGATTTTAAATTAATTCAATCAATTTTAAATGTTTATAAATTTCATTAATATTTGTAAATATTCTGTAAAATGTAATAATTCGGTATTTTAAAATAATGTCAAACTGTGTGCTTTAAAATTCTTTAATATATATATTTAATCATATTTTAAGTATTCATAATCTATTGTATCTTTTGTACTCAAAATGAAATTTCATAATATTGGATTTCTAATTTTTGTCAATTTTAAATGAAGGGAGGCAACCCAATTTTATCCACTGCATTGGAGTCACATGTGGGAAAATAATATTGATTTCATGATTGCTTCCATGACAGCATTTTCACATTATAAAAGTGTTTGGAGAACAAATATCTGATTCATGATACTTCTGATGCAATAAATTTATTTTTTGTTTTAAGTATATTTTCTTGGAATTGCATTGAAATATTTCTTTATTTGTGTTTTTTTTTTTTATTGCAGCCAGTGATGCCTTATTGTCAAGAATAATTAGTTAGAATTTGAATCTGGAGAAAGAAATTAGTATTCAAATAGTGAATTTCAAAATTCTTTGTCTTCCGCAGATGAAATCAATTCAGATGTTAGTTTTCTCTGATAGAGAAAATGACAAAAATAATAATAAGCAATTTGATGAGGAATAAAGTTTTTATTCCATTTGAATAGAACAAAAAATATTTTTTCTTCATTTTGAACTATTCAGTCCACATTTGGTAAAATTATGAGCCTCATCTGTGCCAGATTTTAACTTTTAAAACTTTTCTCCTGATTCTCTCAACCTACTTATTAATTTCTTATGTGATGGGTTAATCCTCATTGCAAATTTTATTTTTCTTGCTCATTTTTTCCTGTTAGATTAGAATGAACAGCAAAATCGTAATCTGGGCTAATCAGCAGCATAGCATTTATAATTTTATATAATTGAAGTATGATTTGGAAAGAATTCTTTGTTATCTTATATAAAGTGGGGAATTGAAAAATATAGCAAGAAAATGAAGAAATAACTGGTTACATCCTTGCTCTTCAGTGCTCAGTTGAGGACAAGAAATAAATGTATATTTTTTAATTGAGTTGACCCCAAATAAGGCATTAAAGTCACTAAGACCCAAAGGGAATGAGAACAAAAGAAGAGTAATTAGAAAAACAGTAGATAACAATTGAAATTTTTGAAGATTAAAGTTGACTGAAAAGCATAGAGCCAGAAGAGAGTTTCACAAGCAAGAAGTGTGAGAAAAGAAACTGTTAACATAGAAATTACAGTTGCATCTAGCCAATTCAACTATAAATTGATGAGACCTCATTGCCAATCTAGTACTGCACTTCAATTCATAAAGTCTAAGTACCATAATGAATAGCTCATCTAAACAGTTGCCATGAAAGTATTTATAGAAAAGAAAAGGGAGGTAGTAGGAAAGTGACTGAAATGAAGACACCAGATCAGGTACGATAATTTTGCTGATTCTTCTTTCAATTTTATCAAGAATCTCTAAATATATAGCAGCATTGCCAGACCAGATGTGGCAACAATATTCTAAGCATAGATGAATGGTAGACTTATTGATATGTAGGATAGATTCTGGAGAGAAAAATTGTCTAGCATGACACTGAACCAACTTTCTTAGTTGACCTAGCAATGGCTTCAATATATTCTTTCCACTTCATGGAAGGCAAAAAGATATCTCTTAGATGATTAATAGAGAGCAGTTTTGAAAGCATTAAAATTAACAAGTGATTCTTTGCCTCAGTTAACAACAGACTGAAGGTTGTTTTTGACATCAGCTGCCAATTTGACCATATCAAATTGATCAGACTTTCTATCAAAACAGCAGTAAATGGTTGTATCATCAGTATAGATACCAAGTTGAGAACTGATGTTATTGAGAAGGTCATTAATGAAAATTAAAAACAAATTAGGACCAAAAATATATGCACAATGACTCAAAAAAGGGGAAAGTAATAAGATACTACCAGAGAATCAGCAATATAAATCACAGGAAGATTACATTAAGACCCAGTAACCATTCCTTTTGCTCACAGAGGAAAGGCTGCTAAGACTTAATATAAATAGCCTGAAGATCTCTCAACTGGTAATCCAAAGGGGCTCTGCTGAGTATCTTGAAAAAACCTCCAGCAACAACAAGTTACAAGTTAGGTTATTTATTAGCCTTTCTGTAATTGCTGAACCAAAAGTGTTAACAAGCGTATGCAAATTTTTGTACTGCCTTCTACAGATCTTAACTGGTAAATGTTGATCAATCCTTACTCTTTTATTTTTTGCTTATCCTTACTCTTCCTCCAATTTTGTTTTAATATATTTATATATATTAATATATACTTTTAAAATGTTTATTTTTTTTAAGCCATAATAAAATATTGTACTCACCACAGATTATTTAACAAAGAATTCCTGGATTAAGTTTGTTAAGGTCTAAAATTAGGTTTTAATTAAATTAACCTTCAACCTAATTATTTGTCAGCATAGTACTGTTAGGTTTCAGTCATGTTGTTTTTTTACAAAGTCCATATTCCTTTTATTTGTGCAGAAGTAGAACTAACAATTTTAGGCTGCATAAATACAAAAGTATTTGTAGATATTTTGGCAAACACGGATCTTTGTGCCCTCAAAAAACAGAGTGTCAAAAGGGTGATTTTTCCTTGGCAATTTTTATTCTTTTAAAAAGCAATGATCAAAATTGTAATAAAACGTAAACATATGATGATAGTGAATTTATACATTTTTTTTTGTTCTTGAGAATTTACAACAAAAATATTAAATTATTTACATTGTTTGAACTGTTGTCCTCATATTCACAACATTTCACCATTGCCTTCTTCAGGCAATTGGAATTTTGAACAGAATTCTTTATTTTGTCTACCGGGGTATATTATTCTAGGTACATGTGCCATGCCACTTCCAGATATCTCCCTTTAACTCAGTTCTCCAATTTTTGTTCAGCACGACAGAAGCCAGGAATTTAACTCATAATTCAAGTCACTGGATCCAACCAACGCTTTTAACCACTGGGCCATGTTTCTTTAAATATTTAACACTATTCATTTATTAGATTTAATTTTATATATACAACATTCAAAAAGCTAGTTGTATTAAAACTAATGCAATATTTATCATTTATCAAGAAATAAATATGAAAGTTTTTTGTTCATAAATTTATAAACATATACTAAATTATAATATGTGAACCAACTATAAGTAAATCTTTATTATTTACCATTTTATAAAGTTCGAATCAATTGGCAATTAGCCAGTGTTTTGCCATCCATTCCATTACACAATCTTATAAGTAGCGTAAATAAACAATCTAATAAATAAATAGTGTTTATTATTTTTGTTATCAATTCTCAAGAACAAAGAAAATGTATAAATTCACTTTCATATGTTTAGGTTTTATTAAAATTCTAATCATTGCTTTTTAAATTAATACACATTTCCAAGGAGTGAAGGTAGTTAAAATGAAAAAAATTGTCATGGGAAAAAACGTTTTTTTGTCACTCTGTTTTTTTGCAGGCACAAAGGTCCATGTTTACCCATATTTTAATAAAGATAATAAGAATGTAAAAGTTTTCTAATGTGACTATACTTAATTTTTCTTGTAGTTTTAGGATAGAAATTTTAAAAACTTATCAGAGACATAATGAGAATTGTAAAACTCTGTTTCTCAATTATTAATTTTGGACTAGCATTTCTTTCTTCTTATTTTCTGTTGGTTTTTATTGCATTTGTCATTTGTCACTTGCTCATGATGACAACTGTAGTAGTAATATTAGCCATTAC